TTCAGTAGGTGTTTTTGCATGCGTACAGTGATTCACTTTCGTTCATGGGTTAGACGAAAAGCAAAAAGCAGTGTGCCTCTCCATGGCGGAGTGGTTAGGAGTGTTGTCTCATGTTCGCACTGTCAAGGGTTCGAGTCCTTGTTCAGTAGGTGTTTTTGCATGCGTACAGCGATTCACTTTCGTTCATGGGTTAGACGAAAAGCAAAAAGCGAGTGCCTCTCCATGGCGGAGTGGTTAGGAGTGTTGTCTCATGTTCGCACTGTCAAGGGTTCGAGTCCTTAATCAGTAGGTGTTTTTGCATGCGTACAGCGATTCACTTTCGTTCATGGGTTAGACGAAAAGCAAAAAGCGAGTGCCTCTCCATGGCGCAGTGGTTAGGAGTGTTGTCCCATGTTTGCACGGTCAAGGGTTCGAGTCCTTGTTCAGTAGGTACTTTTTGCATGCGTGCAGTGATTCACTTTCGTTCATGGGTTAGACGAAAAGCAAGAAGCGAGTCCTCTCCATGGCGGAGTGGTTAGGAGTGTTGTCTCATGTTCGCATGGTCAAGGGTTCGAGTCCTTGTTCACTAGGTGTTTTTGCATGCGTATAGTGATCACTTTCGTTTATGGGTTAGGCAGACAGCAAACGAGGTAGTGGTTCTCCATGGCGGGGTGTTTAGGCGTGCTGCCTCAAGTTCGAATGGTCAAGGGTTCGAGTCCTCGTTGAGAAGGAGTTTTTGCATGCATGAAGTGCTTCAATTTCGTACACTTTCGCTTATGCAATAGGCGCAAAGTTAGGTGAAAGAGCGTTTCATCATAGCGTAACGGCCAGATGTCTGGTCTCTTGCTCGAAGATCAAAGGTTCGAGTCCTCGCTAAGGTGGATTTTTGCGTACATTTAGTGACGCACACATACATACACGTATACGTTAAAAATTTTTTAAGCTAAGTCCTTCCCAGACAGCTTCACCCACCAGCGATTTCTGTTCACACACATGTGCTACATATAAATATGATTGCTGTAATCATTGCGCACGGCTTCTTCACTACAAAAATATAGAACAACTATTTAAGTTTTAGAATTTTCTAAGGAACCACGAATCAGATAGCCACGAAACTTTGGCTTTAGATTACCCGTGGCCGACTACCCCTAACTGCTACATCAAATTCTGCCCTGCTCCGTTTTGCAGAACAGAATAGTCCAAAATTAATTACACGGCGCGTAGTCGGGTTGGTCATCAATTGTTTGGTTTAATTACCCAAGTTTGAGGTACTAATAAGATATGACATGAATAAGCTAAGATAGGATTCAATTCAAAGTCAGTGAAATCTTGGGAACTTTTTGTAAATGGAAGAAACAAGTAATGGAAAAGGTGTGGCATCGACGTTCGAGCCGCTCTCAGTTGTCGATTCCAAAACTCGACATTGTCATGGCATAAAGCAACCAACTGCATTATAAGCGACTGTTCAGTTGCTTGATATACGGCGCAGAATGAAACAAGGAGTCTACTGAGTCATCGAACGTTGGTTTTTACCCAAAGCCCGGCGCTGGGCGGTCTGACCTGACCGCCCCTTCGGTTCCTGGTGGCGCCACCTCTGTAAATGTAAAAGGAACCGAAGGGGTAGTCTGGAGGGGGTGGTCCCGACCCTTTGGCTCCCGGTGGCGCCACCCTTTGAAAATCAAAGGGAGCCAAAGGGGGGAAAGGGTCAGACCTAATTTTGGAGATCTCCGAAGAAAGGAGAAAAAAGCAAGAAACTAGGGGATCCATGGTCTTCAGGAACAAAGCTTCGAAGATCTTGAGACTCTTTCTGAATTGGCTGAACCATTCACGATTAATTTCGTTCACTTTCGTTTCTGGGTTAGACGAATCGCAAAAAGCGAGTGCCTCTCCATGGCGGAGTGGTTAGGAGTGTTGTCTCATGTTCGCACTGTCAAGGGTTCGAGTCCTTGTTCAGTAGGTGTTTTTGCATGCGTACAGCGATTCACTTTCGTTCATGGGTTAGACGAAAAGCAAAAAGCGAGTGCCTCTCCATGGCGGAGTGGTTAGGAGTGTTGTCTCATGTTCGCACTGGTCAAGGGTTCGAGTCCTTGTTCAGTAGGTGTTTTTGCATGCGTACAGTGATTCACTTTCGTTCATGGGTTAGACGAAAAGCAAAAGCGAGTGCCTCTCCATGGCGCAGTGGTGGTTAGGAGTGTTGTCCCATGTTTGCACGGTCAAGGGTTCGAGTCCTTGTTCAGTAGGTACTTTTGCATGCGTGCAGTGATTCACTTTCGTTCATGGGTTAGACGAAAAGCAAGAAGCGAGTGCCTCTCCATGGCGGAGTGGTTAGGAGTGTTGTCTCATGTTCGCACTGGTCAAGGGTTCGAGTCCTTGTTCAGTAGGTGTTTTTGCATGCGTACAGTGATTCACTTTCGTTCATGGGTTAGACGAAAAGCAAAAAGCGAGTGCCTCTCCATGGCGGAGTGGTTAGGAGTGTTGTCTCATGTTCGCACGGTCAAGGGTTCGAGTCCTTGTTCAGTAGGTGTTTTGCATGCGTACAGTGATTCACTTTCATTCATGGGTTAGACGAAAAGCAAAAAGCGAGTGCCTCTCCATGGCGGAGTGGTTAGGAGTGTTGTCTCATGTTCGCATGGTCAAGGGTTCGAGTCCTTGTTGAGTAGGTGTTTTTGCATGCGTATAGTGATCACTTTCGTTTATGGGTTAGGCGCACAGCAACGAGGTAGTGCCTTCTCCATGGCGGAGTGGTTAGGTGTGTTGTCTCATGTTCGCATGGTCAAGGGTTCGAGTCCTTGTTCAGGTGTTTTTGCATGCGTACATCCTCCGTAAGTAAATCTCTTGACTACTGGTGGTACACATGTGTACCACTTCCGTAGTCAAAGTCACTACCACAGTTTTGGCACTTATTGAGATCGGAGGGCCCGCTTTATGGCGGAATTGTGCACAACTAGAAACTTGGTAATTCTTACTCTGTCAGCGAAGTATCAGAAGTCTAAGCGAGTTACGCTGGATAAGTTGATAAGCAAGTCGTTCCACAGGTCACTGGGCAGTGTGCACAGCTCCCGAAAAGGTAGTTTTCGAGTCTCACACTCTTTGTATTGTGTTAATGGTTCTAATATTTCCCTCAATTATTGTGAAACAGGTGAAACATAAGCAAACCGATGACGGATGGAGGTTTTTATCGGCCGCAAGCCAGTTAGAGGACGACAGCGTTTTACGACTGCGTTGGAAATTCCAACCTCCGGAGTTTTGTCAGTTCGTTTGATGCGGAAGTGGTAGTAGAACACTCCTATGATGACGCAGCTTTCGAGCATAAAAACCAGCGAAAATTCGTTAGAGGAGAAGCAGCCGGTGGGCGCAGCCTGTAGGCAGGGGAGCAGCACTTCTACAAAGTGCGGCTTGCAATTCTTTTCAAGTGCGTTCCCAACCGGACATTGCCTTGTTCCACGAATGAGATGTGATAAATGTGTATTTGTTGAATGGTATTTGAACTGTTCAAAAATGCTCATTCGAGCGGAGATGGTGTGGTGACAGGAGGGGCCACTGCCGCGCATATGGTCTCTGGATCGAATCCCAGCTCAAACCCAGCGCGCGTCAGCCAAATTTCTACAGATGATTAGTTGTTGCTAGGAGCGACTGTTACTACACAAAACACATTGATAACTTGTTTCTAAAAAAGTCGTAGTCTAAGGGTTAAAGCAACAATCCAAGAACGAATTCGCGGGCAAAAACCACCGATAATGAAGTTGTAGGTGAAAAGTTGACCAATAATGAAAGAAAAAGTAAAAAAAGACGTCGAACAGGGACTTAGACAGGGACTCCCTCTGCCACTTAGCAATGGAGGAAGACGCTTGTTGGACGAGTTGTTGTGAACATGCCCGCAGTAAATGCGCCCCAATTGCAATAGCTGGCTACTTGCCAGCAATTGCAATTGGGCGCAATAATGAAATCGTTTTATGTTTTGAAGGTAGAAGGTAGAAGGAAAAAACGTAGAAATCCAGCGTAGTCGGCATCACCACATCGATTGCTTCAAAGGATCGACCTCAAATAGTCCCGGCGGTCCCGAAACGACCGCAAATGTCTGCAAACGGCCGCCCACTCTGTCGTGAAGACGACAGAAGTGGGCGGCCGTACCGAGGCTCGGTGGATCCGCCCACTTCGACGGCGTTAGACCCCTTCCAACGCCTTTCAAAGGTAAGTTTTCAAATCAGTGACATTTCCTATGTACTTGACTAGGGCTATGCATGTTTCCACCCCTTAGGATCGAATGGTTGAAACCCTGCTTGGACTGTTGCTTTGAATGGTCGTAAGGCATAATTGTTGACTTTGGTTGTTGATCTATTTCAATTCCTACCTAATTATCCCTTGCGCATTTGAGCTTCTGAAACATCCTGGCTGAAGGTCCTGATGTGTTCTTCAACATATCAACTTATTTCATTATGAAGCTAATTTGACATGAAGAAAATTGAATTGGAACAAAAATCGGCCAGAATTATGGGACAGACCCAATATTTCGCTGCATCGTAGTAGTTCCGAAATACAGTAGCACCGCGGATCAAGCCTTGGATAGGATAACGAACAAATCGCACCGCCATCGCGTGATCATTCCTCCCCCAACTGAGCTAGCACCCTCAATCCAGTGACATAAGTTTGGGTGAGATACAATCACAATTTTTCCGTGGATGATTCGTTCAACCCATTGCTTTCGGAATTACCATGTCTAGTTCATCATTGGTAAGCACAGTTTCGTCGAACTCATGGGAACGTCGTTTGAACCTCTGCACGACACGTATGGAATGCGCCTCAAAGCATGCTGGAAACAGCTTATCCACGCAACTTCTATCAAGTGCACGTCACTTCCGGTGCCACACCTACCCCAACTTTCGGATATCGACTGTAACTTTGTGTCATTTTTAGTGACAAGTACGCAATTAAGTGTAAAAAAATTCTTATCACTAATGTATGAAAATTACAAGAAAATTGAATGGAATACATCGTGAACAGTTATATCGCCGTGAGATCTTCTAAAACCTTGGCATTTCTTCGGTTTTCTGCGTTTCGTGCATGTATGGCGACAGTCCTTCGTAACCGGGTGCAGCATTGGCCTGCTGAGTTCGCCCAAACGGACCGGCCGCAGCTCCTTGGGCACCGTACGGGCTGGCCGCAGCGCCTTGAGCACCATACGGAGTTGCTGCAGCGCCTTGTGCACCATACGGGGTAGCCGCCGCGCCTTGAGCACCATACGGGGTAGCCGCTGCGCCTTGAGCACCGTATGGATAGGGCGGTGCGCCTGGTGGGCCAGGGGCGCTTGGCACCGGCTGCGCGCCGAACGCAGGTGCCGCGCCAGGACCCTCGACTGAGCCCATGGCGTCGAGTATATTCGGAATATCGGTATCCATTGTCGGTGCTGTTGCCGTCTTCCTCTCGTCCTCTCTTGTCAGTCGCAGAAGTCTTTTCAGTCGTCGTGTGGCTTTATCGATTCGGCGATGAGGACGGCGAACTTCTTCGTCCATGGTCTCTCCTTGTGTGGGACGCTCTTCTCTCATTTCTCCAACTCTGATTTGAGGAAGTGGGGAAGAAGCGCCGGGTGGCTCCTGTGGCGCAGACCTCGCATGCCTCTCTCTGGTGTGTGATGATCCAGAACTTCCGGAGCTGCCACTGTCCTAAAATTGAGAAGGTAGAACTGAAAACGCACGACTACAAAGGTGTTACTATAAAAATGAGTTGCAAAAGTGAAGGTCCACATTTGAAGCGAACTCACCCTTCCTGTAGACCTCTCGCTGTGATGCTGAAACAGTGTAACCAGTAATTGAGAACGGTGTGTTTAACCATGCCCTGCCTTACTCTTTTTCTGCGTTTCCTCTCATCTTCCGTTATGATTTCAGGCGGCGCCTCTTGATCTTTGCCGCAGCAACAGATATAACAACAAACAAGTATCAGCAATATCACTATCACGGCGGCGACCGCCGGAATCATTTGGTTGGTATCCATCTTACTGGCATCCAATCCTTTTCCTTTTCCAATCACTTTTCTGCAAAAATGACATCTCTGCAGCAGGGCTATAAACTATCGGCTCTCACAAGCTATTTGATATTCAGGGGCAAACAAGGCGATGTGAAGTGGCGTTCAAGGCCTGATTCCCAGTGTGGTAACGTCTGATCGCACACCTGTCATTATCTTCAAAACGAGGTAATCAACAACTTCAGGCAGTACTCGATTACGTGACTTCTTGAACTCTCCCCTATGTTCTCTGCCGCGGAAAGGCCAGAGCAAAGACGATTAGAGAACGGCGCCTGGCTCGGCTCCAAATCCCAAGAAGGAAGGTGAGAGCCTCTAGGACTAAGCCTTGGAGGAGGAGGGACTCCGGAGTGGGTGAGCCAATTACATTGTGGCAAAGTTTGGTATGTAAGATCACAGTAATCATAAGCCGCTGTTCAGGAGAGAGTGAGCGCAGGCGAGAGCATCAAATCATGGCGTTTTAAAGGACTGAGTTCAAGTTGTCTGTAGACCGCAGAAACGTACGCACAGGGTGCATGTTTTGCATAGCCAAACATCCTGTCCAGATGAGTCACTTTTAGGTGAAATCTCAACATAATAAATGCTTAGCATCATCGGTGGTTGGTTTCTTTCCCGTTCCTCCCCCCTCTCCCTCAATTTTCCTTCATACCACGGCAACCTCATAAGGAATGGTCAAAACAGGAATGGTCGCTACACATTAGGTGTTCATGTAACAGTTAGGAGTCGTCTATCGCAATCATAACATTACGTTAGATGGTAGCGCAACTGTGATTGGATGTCTTGTTTATTAGCAGTTGGTTTCCGATCCTCTCCTCCCCCCCCCTTGCCTACAGATGTGGCTCTCTTCGGCAGCACCATGTGGAATAACCGAGAGTGGGCGCACTAGGCCTTCATATAGTCGTTTGGGATTACCACAATCATGCCATTGCAAAACAATGGATACGCGACTGCGAATCTCCAGTTCTTGATAGCTGGCTGAATACGATTCCAGAGGAAATTGGATACCTATCGATTGAAATCATTGTAGAGTGTAGATAACAAGACTAGCATTTGGGACGTTAGGGGATTAACATGTTGAGATACTCCGCCAAGATTGGATAAGCATTATTGATCTGGATGTAGACGCATGATCTCTTATCTTCCTCTCCCTATCACTAGATACCTTGTCCATTCTAGTAAACATCCTATCCTATCCGCTTCATTTCTTCGTCGCAGAGTTTTCGTGCAGTCGAATGTCTGAGAGTTCCAAATTTGTCGTCGCACGACCTAATGGGTGCAATTTGGCTATGCTAGAAGTGACTTCCTGGCCGTGCATCAGTTAATACGTATGACTGTACACCTTTGTGATCCTGGACGACAAGTAGAGTTTTTGTTTGGAAACCGAGCGAGACCTTATACCTTCTTGACACCACACACGCATACGGAATTCCCACCGTCATTTGCGCTTTCAGAAAACGATGTAGAGGAGCTGAAGGTTATACCATCATCATATACTTTTTTCGCTCTCTGGTTTGCACCAGTAAACCAGAATGATGAAAGGTGAGATCGTGTGGATGTAGCGACTTTCAAACGCTTCCCAGTGAGGTCATATACATGGCGCATATGAGGACGAAATCAGTCAACGCCGAGGGCATAGATACCTTTTCCATGGTGATATGTTCTAGGGGCCTTTCGAGGATTTCGACAGGAGTTATCTGCGACAGTGTTGAAAAATTCGGTTCTGAATGGCTCGAGGTTTCCTCGACACGCTAGAGAGGCAGTTCGAAGCACTGTATTGCCCGATTGCTCAAAATTTCCAGTGGTGGGCTCCTACTAGGTAGTAGAGAACGAAATGCAACTCACTTGGTTGGAGGCGAGCGTTGTGAAGGTGGGCTTCTTGTAGCCGGGTAATTAGATCTGCGTTTGGATGTGGCTTTCGCTGCAGATATTCAATTATAGAACATCTACGCTTTGCTCACTCACACAGCCACCAAATTGCTCACCTGACATGGTGAAAACTGAAGATAAAATGAGAAACCCTGGAAGCCCCGAAATCAAAATAAATGCTTGTTGATCTATCCAGCTCCACCACTATCACGCTGTTTGAATCACTTTAACGGTTAACGCGGCTGGCTTCACTCATCATGAAAGCTTTCCTTTCCCAGAAGATCATTATTCCCGAAGAAGTGTTATGTCATTTTCATTAAAAAAAGGCTCGAATGTCATGTGGCGAAATTCGAGTAAAAGAGATGAACTTTGTTGCTTGTCCTAGGGGATGGAGCCGTTTGGAAATTTTGCCAGAGTTCCACCAGGTTAATGGATTGGCGAAACTGAGGTGAGATGTGGGGTGTACCACTGCACTCATTTCACCAGGACGTCTAGTGTCAGGAGGAAGAGGAACGGGCTCAGAGCTGACCCTTGGTGCACCCCAACCGTGATGTCCACCTCCTTCGTTAGGCCGTGTGGGGTGCGTATGCTGCCTTGCTCGTACATGTCCTTCACCAGCGAGATCAGGTGTTCTGGCACGTTTCGTTCCCTGAGCGATCTCCATAGTACTGCTCGCGGTAGCCGGTCGAACGCCTTCTCCAGGTCGAGGAAGGCTAGGTAGCAGGGTCGGCGCTTTTCTCGATACTTCTCCATCACTTGCCTTGCGATGAAGATGGCATCCGTTGTAGACCTTTCATGAACCCGAACTGTTCCTGGGAGATCGGGACCAGCTCCCGCAGTTTCGAGTCGACCAGGCGCTCGTACAACTTCATGGTATGCGCAGTCAACTTGATCCGCGGTAGTTGGAGCAGTCCATCGCGTCACCCTTCTGCTTGAAGATGGGGACGATAGTAGTTGTCCAGGCATCCGGCATCCTTCCTTCGGCTGCTATATCGTGTTCAATTGAGCCACCTTACTTTGTGCTTTCAGGCCTCTATGGGTACTCCATCCTGGACCAACCGCCTTTCCAACCTTCATCTTCCCAAGTGCACACCGAACCTCATCCTCTGTCCAGAGTGCGATGGGACCAGCTGTGGCCTCTGCCCGTGAGTTGTTCTTGAACTCCTCGTTCAGAAGACCTCTGAAGTACTCTTCCCACCTCCTCCGACTTCGGCTGGCTTCCTCAGGATGGCGCCGTTGCTGCTCTTCACGCTCTTCACCACCCTGATGTCTTGAGTAGCCCGATGCCGGGCTTTGGCCAGTCTGAAGACGAACTTCTCTGCGTTTCTGCTTTCCAACTTCTCGTACAAGGCGTCCATCTCCGTGTTCTTCGCCTTGGCGACGGCAGCCTTAGCGAGCCTCTTGCAACTCTTGTAGGTAGCGAGGTCTCGGGGCTCCGGGTCTTCTGCCAGCGCTTGTATGCTTCCTTCTTCTGCTTCACGACTCGCTGGACCTCCTCGTTCCAGAACCACGCTGCCTTGTCTCCTCTGAATCCACCTCGCGTCTCGCCCAGTACCTCCTTGGCGCATCGTAGGATGATCTCAGCTGCATTGCCCAAGTCCGCTGCACTGGTCCCTCAGGATCTGGGAGACCAACTTCCATTATCCTTCGTTTGAGGTCGCTCTTCTCTGCTCGGTGCAACCCCTTGTCCTTCTTGTGGAGGTCTATGGAAATGACTGCCAGGAGGAGCCTGTGCTGGGGAGCCAGTTGTTCCTCAGAGAAAACCTTGACGCTATATAGCTCTTTGGGATGATATTTTTACGAGCATATGGTCGATTTACTTCAGTTGCCCTTTACTGCTGTCAGGGCTTCTGAGACCTGAACTTTTTTCGTGCAAAAGGTGCTGCGCGAGTTGCCTGTCGTGGGCGTGCAGCTACGGGTCGCGGACCTCCTCTCCCTAAGCGTTCCTTGTTCCCATCCCTCTACCCCCGTGCACCCTTTCCAAGCCTCTTTCCGACGTGACACTGACCGTTCAGATCACCTGCTACGGTGAGGTTGTCGCCTTCTGGGAATCGATATGATGGCATCGTCAAGGCTGAGATAGAACTCCCCTTAAAGCAACAGTCCAAGCAGGGTTTCAACCATTCGGTTTTTGAAGTGGTGAAAACATGCCCAGCCCAAGTGATGCTCATAGGAAATGTCACTGACTTCAAAACTTACCTTTGAAATGCGTTGGAAGGGGTCAAAATCCTTCGAAAAGGGCGGGTCTATCGAGCCTCGGTGGGGCCGCCCATCTGCAACCGTGATTAGCTGCGGAGGCATTCGTGATCGTCTTGGGACCACAGGGAGTATTTGAACTCGGTCCTTCAAATCAATGTGGTGATGCCGACTACGCTGGATTTCTACATTTTTACTTCCCACCTTCTACCTTCAAATTATAAACTATTTCATTATTGCGCCCCAATTGCAATTAGAGGCAAGTAGCCAGCTATTGCTGGCTATTTGCCAGCAATTGTAATTGGAGCGCATCTACTGCGGGCAGGTTCAGGCAACTCGTCCAACGCGCGTCTTCCTCCATGCTAAGTGGCAGAGGGGAGTCCCTGTCTAAGTCCCTGTTCCGACGTTTTTTTTACTTTTTCTTTCATTATTGTCAACTTTTCACCTACAACTTCATTATCGGTGGTTTTTGCCCGCGAATTCGTTCTTGGATTGTTGCTTTAACTTTCGGGCATCCGGCTTGCGGTGCGTACACGGAGAGTATGGTCCAGTACCCCTCCTTCGTGTCTATCCTCACAGCCATGATCCGATCGCTGATCCTGTTCACAGCGGAGACATAGTCCTTGAGCGACTCCGCTACCGCTATGGCCACACCGTTCCGCTTGGTGTCTTCTCCATTGTAGTAGAGTTTGGCATGTACGTATGTACAGCCGTCTGTCCGTCCGTCGGACTACACATTCAAGAAAGGGGAGGGGGAGTGGAAGAGAGGAGGAAAGGAGAGTGACGGAACTTACCGAATACAACAGTGGTCCAAATCAGTTTTGCTCTCATCTTGGCGTGATACCATTGTTGTGATAACATCCACAATGTAACACAAATACCTACCGGGTAGAGTTTTGCCCATTCCACATACTGCTGCAGTGGCTGGAGGGACAAGGGAATGGGAGGGGGAGATTACACGCTCACTACTAAAACCACGGTCCGAATAAGGACTATCAGCTAGATGCTCTAAAATCGGTACTGGGTATGTGCTACTCCCTTACAATAAACGCACAGCAAAAACTTCCACCGAAATTCCAACGCTGGAAGCCTAAAGCACAGCAAAATCAAATTCTGTTGATTGACGCCGGTTTGGCGCTTTGGATAATTCTTGTAAATGCACTGAGATGAGGGTTTTTCGATCCTGTATCAGATTGAATGCCAGTTTGGGTTGCGAAAGCTTAGCCCCGTGAACATTCACAGAAACATATCGCTGCACGAACTGCAACACTACTGCAAGTGAACCGAATGGTGTTGAATTTACTTTTTGTGTATGACACTTTGCAGACTGGTGTGTTCACGCTGCCATTGCAGGCAGAACTAGCTTCAATTCAATGTCCTTATTCGTTTATGCAATGAGTCACTGGATATCCCGAATCGAGCATTTTGCAATTTGTCTCTCATTGTCTGATGACCATAGTGTTAATTGTGATTATTTCTATGTGTTCGGAATGTTTCTATCGGAATCGCGCACTACGTAGACGAAAACCTGCTTAATTAGGCGCTCGGGTTAGCATTACCGACTCTGAGATAAAACTTCTCCCACTTATCCTCTGAGGGGGCGTAGAAGTTAATCACGTGAATGGTGCTGCTGCAATCGTTCAGCCCGAGCAGGCCTCTGCTTCTCCTTGCCTTCTTGGTCTCATAGGGCTTGCGTTACACTACCATTGCTTTTTTGCATTTATGTGGTCGCGACAGGAGACGACTGTGATTATTGGTGATCAGTATCCAAAAATGAAAAGACACGTGCAGATTTCCGTGCTCTGAGATTGTTATTTGAAGGAAGGAAGTATTTTTGACGAGGGCGGAAGTGGTGTAGTGGCAAGTGGCACGCTTACCACGCGAGCGGTCCGGGGATCAAATCCTGGGTCGTGAGTCGCCCGGGCCAACCAAGCCTTCCATCCCTCCGGGGTCGGTTAATTGGTACCAGACTTGTCTGGGAGGATAAAAAACACTGACTTGTACATCGGCTGGCCCCGCAAGTCATTGTATAGGCCACATCGCATTCAAACCACTACGAATGTACAAATGGAAGTAGAATGCGTGCCGCATCCCAAAAAGGGATTGATCAACGGCAAATGCTTTATCCTTTATCCTTTTTTATTAGGCGATATCCCATTGCAGCATCTAACGATTTCATACGAAGTCAAGCTGATTCTCATGGCTCTGCCTACTCTTCAGCTCTCGCCAGTTAGAAAATTGCTCAAAGCCTTACTACCTGTCGGTAACCTGGCTTTCACCCTGCAGAATCCAGAAACACACGTGGACCTGGTGCAGAGACCAGTAGACGCGCCCACATTTCGACGCGCCGAATTTATCTGAGTTTTCCTTCCCGATCAACGCTGGTGTCAGGCCGACCGCTCCAGAAATATCGGAAGTCCTCTGTTCAATCGAAGCTTCATCAATAGTAATACCACCAACGGTTCTGTGTGCTGAGGTAAGTCAGGTGGTAGGTGGTCCCAAGAACAGGCCCCGAAGGGATGGAAGGGTTTGTGGGCTCGGACGACGCACGACCCAGGAAATCGATCCCCTGATCGTGGCACGCGGTAAGCAGTGGCACTTGCCACTGTATCACTTCCATTCTTAGAAAAGGCAATGTCAATAACAATCCAAATCCATAAAAATTGAGATAGAGTTTCCACTCAGGGTGCTTTCACTTATTTTCCACTTAAAAGGTGAACCTAGTTTACGATCTACGTTTTCCGGTAATGAATCGTAAATCGTGAATCGAAAACATAAAGGGCAAATTGTCGAGAAAAGCATTAAACAAGCTGTACCATGATCAAATCGACCAAGAGTTCCAGGTCGAGGCTTGCTCAAGCGAGGTTTTTTTATTTTTTATTAGTTGCCGAAATTGGTAGGACGGGCATGTCTGTGCCCGGCTCTGGACGAATATATTATAAAATGGTGAGCCCATCTTAGCGTTCAAAGCGTTTACACAGACACAGTTCTGTGCAATGCATAGGTATTATCTCGCAGAATAACAAAAATGCTTTCGCAACCAGAAGGTATTTTGGCATGTTTCCAGAAGTACAGCATGACTCTTGAAAACGGCGCCCAAAACTATGCGAATAATTGCACAACTGCCGGCTCTCCTCCGACTTCGCGTCCTGGTCAGGGGGAAAATTTTGCAACCATCCCGCAATACAGCGCTACGTCGTATCAAAACGCAGTTCGACAGGTGTGATTCTTCTGATCCTTCTGATTGCACTGAGACTCATTTCGTTGTCCATATATGTTGACTTTCAGGCAATTAAGCAGTTTTGGAGTGAAATCTATACGTACAGTATCAACAAAGAATGATATTCACTTACACTCTTCAAAATAGAGGAGCTACGGCACCGCTCAGATTCACTCAAGTTAGTCCAAAGTTCAACGTGCAAAAAAGTTTAATTCTCAATACTTCAAAAGATTGCTCGTCCAAGGAGCAACATGAATTAACTTAATCACAAATCTATTTCTGAACCTTCACGATATAGGATCAGTGCCCAAAATACAAAGAAATCGAATGGATGGCTAAATGGAAACCGTTTTTTGTATGGCGGGGGAGGGTTCGACACGTTCACCAGGGCGCCGAGGAAGTGGGCGGACCTCCTTACGCGCCATTCGAACCAAGGAAACCTTCAGATCATCTCCCCCTACCAGCCATCCTGTTTACTGTTTTTAGCATGATCCTGAGCCGGCCCACGGCTGCCATTGCTGAACAGCCCCACTCAACTCCAGAAGCTCATCAACCTACTTCCTCATGGGACTTGTCTGTCAACGCTGCATAGGACAATACCAGCCTTACGCCTCATTGCCTTATGTTCAGCCTATGACTGCATTTTTCGATATATGGTACCGAAAACAGCTAGG